TAAAAAGTACAAGAATTATTGTAATGATATGTTTTGTAAAAGTAATTATTGTATATCCAAAATATTACAATATAGAAAAGGTCAACTTTTATTCGTCATTTAATCCATCACTATATAAATATGCAATGAGCATAGTATATATTTTCTTCTGTGGTCCAATGTAGATAATTTCACGTATATTCTTTATTCTTTTAATATATATAATAGACATATTTTATATGAAGTATACTTAGAAATAATATGCGAATATTAGAATATATGCATATATAAAATTTAATATGAATATTTAACATTTATGTATAGATAAATGGAGTAATTTATCAATATATATGAAATTATGAATTTTTATTTTTTATCAAGCTCTAATATAAGCGAATAAATTTGAAGAATGAAATTATATAGATATAAAGTTATATTATGCGTACCAATGAATTTTAATTGTCGTTTAAAAAATTGATTCCATTTAAAATAAATTTATCTAAATAATTACCTTTTTGTAATGTTCGTAAAATCAATAGAATCATAAATATTAAGGGATGAATAAATAGCATTGCAAATGATTAACTTTAGTCATATACTATGTTAATACATAAGATTACATAAAAATTATTTAAGCATATTAAGCAATCATCTGATTTTACTCCTATAAGATGCATATAATAAAGCAACATATGGCAACAAAAATGGAAGATCCAATTTAGTAATAGTGGTAATATAAAGCACCATTTGCATTAATTGTTTTTCTTTTGAATATGTTTATTAAAAGTAGCCAACGAGTAATTTCCATTGTAGACTTCACTGAGATTGAACGAAAATAAGAGCAAGGAGCAATATGTGATACAGACGATCTGCTTCTCAAAGATCAGACTTGTCCTGAACAACCACTTCCGAACAATTTCTAGTAAATAAAAAAATAAACATGAAACAACTTTCATAAACAGATAAACTAAATCAATACCGTTTATATATATATATATATATATTTTAGGCTTTTAGTAAGAAAAAAATCACAAAAAAATCACAAAAAAATTATTATAAGACAACAAATGTTTCAATTTCGAATACTTTTCCATGCCTTCAACTAATTTCTATTCAATAAAGCGGTAGAGATAAATTTGTTTAGTTGATTCATTTGCTGGTGTGACATTATAAAAAAAAGTACATTGAGAATAGTGAACTATATAGAAAAAATTTAATAAATATTTTATTAAACAGTTAATTCTGTATTATTTTACAAAATATGCTTAGAGAACATTCAATATTAAATGAAATATGTAACAAATACACTGAATGGTATGTGTTATGAATCAATAGAAACAGACAGATATTTATAGACAAGTCTCGTCAAACAAATTTCAAATACATATTGTTTTTTTCTTCTTGCATATTATCATGTCCATAACAAACTTGCTCGCCAAATTAGTTTTAAATATGTAATTAATAGATTAGTTAAATGAAAATGCCATAAATAAGGCACTTTGACACCGACATCAACACGATGATGTGAATAGTAATTAGGCACATTCTTATATTTCATAAGTGTCACATGTTCTTATCTTCAATAAATTTACAAAATGGTAGTATTGTAAATAATTATACTAATTAAATTCACAACGACATATAAATGATGATAGTTTTGGGCTGCTACTACCATTTAATCTCAGACTATGTGTGTGCAGCAATATTTTAAAAAATTCACTACAAAGATTTTCTAAAAATATGCGTCATTTTAAGATAAATTATTTTGATAAACCTATAATAAAATGAATATTATAAGTTTATGTAAAGTCTGGGATTTAACACTTTAATATAGTGTAAATGGTATATTTTTTTAGAATTAAATTATACATCCTCAAATTATCAAACCACATTTGCAATTACCTTATTTTTTTCATGTGTATATATATATGTGCATATATATACTTATGTGTATATATACATATATATCCAATATTTGGATGTGATAAATAGGTTTGCAAATGTTGTCCGTAAGCATGATAGCAAAGATATTAAAAAAAGGAAGAAAATAGAAAAAGAACATCGTTCAAGCAATTAGACCACAGAAAAGCAGACCGAATACAGTGAACAATGGTAGCAAAAAAAAGAATGCATGAATCCTTGTACATTGATTACAACCTTCGAAGTGAAGCCATACTGAGGGAGCTGCATTTGGCCTTTCGAGTCGGTTGAACCGACATGGGTGCCACTAGAACATCGTCTCTAGTGGGCGAGTCTGAACCACCATTACCCAGTTCCTGGAAAGATATACGAAGAAGTTTTTCTTTATCGCATTATGTTAAGACTGGAAAGAAAAACCTTTAAAGGCAGATTATGAAATGTTTTTTAGGCAAACATGCATTGAACATAGTTAAAAAGTTTGCTATTTAGAAGAAAAAATGAAAGAAAAAATATTATAATCCTACGTAACTATGAAAAGAAAAAAAAACAAATAAAATTCACACAATCTATGCATCACATTCTCGCAGATACAAGCTTAATCTTATTATCATGATTTAAATTAAAAATTATTGCTGATAACATTGATAATTCATATTTAGAATAATAGATCAAATATACGCATTGATTCTAAAAAAAAATTAATATAAATAAGTATTATACTTATACAATAACACCTTTAACATCAATATATATATCTGGGATTTGCAAAGAAAATATGTCTGCGCTGATAACTTTCAATAGTATATTTAACAAAAATAGAGAAAAAAAATAATAATAGTAATAATAATAATAAAGAAAAACAAAAATAGATCAATTACATATGTAAAAAAAAAAGTAGATCGATTTTATGAAACCTTTCTCTTTTTAAAAGGCGCCCTTAACAAAAAAAAAAACAAAGCTAAGGAAAAAATAAAACAAAAGTTAAGAAAAATAACAACAGAGAAAGAGAGAGAAAGAGAGAGAGTAAAAAAAAAAGAAATTAAAGTGTTTTTTAACATTTGGTTGAATAATAAGAAAAAGAAAAAGAAAAGTTTGCCATTAGTTTACAAGGAAAAGAAATATGCTCCTAGAAACTATATCAATAAACAAGAGATTTATATCGTTTGAAAGATATGTCTAACTATTTCTAACAAATTAATAATGGAAGCAATAGCGATCATCTTATCAATTTAAATAGTGACACGAAGCGTTTTGATCCAGTCGAAACACCCCGAGACATCACATTCCTAAAAATAACATGTTCGTTTTTCAAAGAAAGCATTTTAAAGTCTTTTCCCCCCCTCTACTCCCTTTCACGAGAGAAGATATCCAATTAATTATATAAATAGTGAATCATTTAATAAGCTTATAAATTTAAATTTATTTAGTATATTATACTTACATTATATATATATGATAAAATTCATCCCTTGGTTTTGTACAAGCATGAACACATAAACTTTTAGTAATATTATATAATAGTTTCAATAAAGATGATACATGAATAATTAATGTTGCAAGCCCAGCGCGCCGCTACCATGGGGATGAATTTTACATTTTTTATTTTTATAATACTTTAATAATAAAAAAATAAAAATCTTTATCAACGTGTATAATCGTAAAATCAAAACAAAGAATTTTTATTGTTATTTTTTGGGATGCTTAATACTTTTTATAGTTTTTGAAATAAACGAGAATTTATTTAACTATAAAATATTTTTATTTAAATGCAAAGAGCAAATATTTCAAAGCATGACACTGTTCCTGTTTCATACTAAAAATGATTATCATCAGTTTAATAACACAATTAATAAATATTAAATTAATAAAAATATATATAAATAAAAACAGTGATTTTCTATTTTTTCTAAATATTAATATTCATTGTTTTTATTAATGTTTCGGAAAATTCTAAAAATTTTAAAAAGAAGAAAAAGGTGGCGCGCGCTGGGCTCAACGGCGAGCTAGCTCGTGACAATTATTAAATCCCATTTATATTTGATTTTAAACAAAAAAACGTAGAAAGAAGAGCATAAAATAAAACATTACATCTAGTTACTAGTCAAGTTTATAAGAAACAAAGCTATTAGACACATCTATTGTCATTTTATGTAGTATATATGTACATCGTACTAAGAAACTCGAATTCATTTTCGGTTACGAATAAAAAATTAATCTATACACACGAGAGAATAATATTATATCGTTATAAAATACAGATATATATATATATACAATTTTATAATTAATAAAAAATTGTAGAAACTATCATGCAATGAATTGTAAATTTCATGTGCTTCTTTTTTTTCTTTTGAGAAAAAAATTATAATTAAGAATGTGAAATGCATGTATCAAAAAATAAAAAGAAAAAGAAAAGCGTAAGAAGAATAAAAATCTCCTGTCGTGAAATGAAGATGAGCAAGAGAAATGCAAGAGTGAAAGCATAGTAATAAAAAAAAAAAAATAAATAAATAAGATATATATATATATATACACACAATAAAAAACGTATCAACTAACGTTAATATTGTTGCAACTAGCAAGTCGCATTTGGGCAAGTTGTTGGCTTGCTGGGGTGAGACTATTTGTTGATCCGAAAGGAGACATCATTGTAGACATAGCCCTCTTTAGTTTACTAGGAGTCTTGTTAAAACTAAACGCTCTACCAACTTTCCTTCTCGTACGAGATGCAAACCTGAGAAAAAATATGCTGTGTAAATGTGCTAAATGTATAGACACGTATGTAAGTTATGCAACACTGAATCTTTTCTTCCTCGATGCAATCATTTTTTCATTTCATGTTTATAATATTGTAATATATGAAAGTGTAATACTCATAAGATACTTTACATCGTTATTACTAAAAAAAAAAGATAAAGCACAAACAATATTATACTATTTTTCTAATATTGTTTAATAATAAATACTAAGAGGAAGCAAAGTTTCTAACAAATAAGGAGATAATGGCGGTAAAATACAAACTGAAAGGAACCCCAAAAATATGAAATATACCAGTTCAAGTGTAACCACATCGCGAATGCAGTTACTGGACATAACTACGATCTATGTAATAATATTGACGTTTTTCATGCAAAGCCAAACGTTAATTCATTTACCAATATATATATATATAAAATTTCAATGTATATATAATCCATGCCAAATGATAATATAATACAATAGTACAAAATTAATTTATGGATGTGAAAAAATATAGTTACTAAACACAATAAATACAAAAATTTTCAAACGCAAAAAAAATGGAAATAGAGAAGAACAGATTTCTCTATGTAATAACAAAAAGGGTTAGTCTTCAACACTTTCATGTACAAATTTAAATACAAAAAACTTAATGATTGAAATAAAAAAAAAAACACAAGATATATAATAAATATTAAATAATAATTTACAAATGAAACAATTTTTTTATATATAAAAGTGTACTAAAATTTTGTCAATACTGCGGACGTTTATGCTTGAACTGGTTGAATTGATATATGAGTATTTGAGTATATTTTTTTCCCTTTTTTTTTTGGTATTTCTTGATTTCAAAACATGAGAATGATGGACTCTAAAAAGCAAGGGATTAAGGACCAAAAGCAAGTAAAAAAATGTAATCAGCCTGGTGCGAAAACTGACGGTAGTGGGACATGTAACGTAGTTTCACACATGCTATTGAGTAGGAACACATACGGGTCCATATACTCCAGGTAAAAATTATGAAATAGGCTCCTGCAACCAAACCAGTCGTCGCCCCATTATTTTTTCTTTTTCATTAACATGCAATACAGGAAAAGTTGAACTATTCTTTAGATTTAAAATATCTTTCATTGTGAACTTATACTTTTACTTATTTTTGTTCTTAAGAATTTAAAAATAAAATATATAATCATTGGAAAATACGTATATTAAACAGATCTTGTTTAACGAGCTAATTAATTTCAACCTTTCCTTTTAAATCATATAAAATTTTCTAATAGTATTCATCCCGCCTTTTGTATCATATATAAATCTACATAAATATTTGATAATAAAACTATACTAAACTATCTGCTACAAAACTGTAAGCACATTATTAAGTGAATATTACAAATCTAGTATTCATTGATTTCATAATGACACAAGTTCAAAAATGTGCTTACAGTTATGAGATCATCTTGATCACATACAAGATGAAGAACTATAAAACTGTAATATATTTGAAAAGAAATACGTGTACTTACTTAAATGCTTTACTTAATGTTCCTAATGCTACATCACTAGTATCAATTTCCAGCTGATGCGAATCAAGACTTATCAGGAACGTATCCTAAAAAGAGGAAATAGATTCTTAATGTTTACATATTACATTATTAATAATTCTATATAATATTATTTTGAATGTATAAAATATTCATTAACATGTTCTATACAGAAAACAAAATTTCAACTAGCCTGAACAAAAGTTCAAAATAAGACCTATGTGGTAGGGAAAAACGTATTTACAATGAATTTTTATGTGAACATTTTACAAAATAATGTAAAAACATACCGCATCAGCCTTGCAAACTGTATTAGCCATTTGTCTACACAAAGTACGTAAATAATTTGTTTTGTTTACATCTTCATCGATAATTGTAAACGAAAATAATTTTTCCTTTAATTCTTGATTACTTCTTACCATTAATGCAAATACTTTCTGACATTCTATTAAACAAAGTAATTTTTAACATATTTTTTATTTTTTTTTTTATATAGTAGTTGTATATGTACCTTCGGTTTCTCGAATATCCACCACTTTTCTAATAGTACTAAGGGGTAACAATTTTATGTGCTTATATGGCTTTCCTTGGCTTAATTTAGCAGAATGTAATCCATTAGCCGTATTGGGACTCTTTAATGAATTGAAAGCTTTCGATCTTTTCTTACAAATTTCTAAAATATCCGTAAAGAGAAATAGAACTAAATGATCACCGCGACCACTTAGACCTTCACTGAGTTCCATTACATCGCATTTTCCAATAAACGACCTATGCGAGGATACTAAATGTGGTGGGCAATTGTCGATCTCATTAAAGATATCAAACATTGCTAATTGGCCTTCAGTTTTTCTTTTATCCTCGTTGATGTAAGTCATAACTTCTTTAATACTGCTAATTGATAACTCCAACGCACTATAATCTGGATTACTTTTACTTGTGTGCTTGAGGATATCTATGAAATTTATTTTACAAATTTATATTAATTACTTAAGCTACATTACAACGCACAAAGATTTATTAATATATTTATTCGCTTTGCTTACCATTTAATAATAAACTAATACTGGGTAACCTCTGTACTGGCTTTATTAAGAGCTCTTTCAAACTTTGTCTGCCACATTCAGGTTTAGTCTGACAAATCTTCAAAAAAGCATGAAAACGTGGCTTGTTTTGATCACATTGGTCTAGCATTTCCTTAGTATTTTCGAAGAAATTCACGTACGGAGGGTATGCCTTGACTAGGTCAGGTGCAAACTTCAGAAATATATTACCTATACTAACATCTTCTGTCCAATAAGTAGCACTATAACGCAACTCTTCTAACATCTTTTTGTGGACCTCATAAATTGGTGGAAAGTTACCAAATATAATTTTAACTTCTGTACTATTTACTAATTCACCGCTAGTTTCCGTAAGCTCTTCCAATGGTGATTTAAATAACTAGAAAAAAAATTTAATATATAAGTATATAATGTATTATATAAATCATTTACAGACCAAAATGATTAACTCAACATCTTAGAATGTTTGAAAATGTTCTAAATATTCAATTTTCTATATAAAATATAATGTTATCAATTATTTACTTACCGTCATAATAGTGCTCAAAATACCAACATAATTAGATTCTGTTTGCACTAATTCAAGAAAAACTTGATGACGTGGAGATCGACTTTTCCTAGCACCGTCTGCGTTAACAGCTTCCACCTCTGGAATATCTATCAGTTATCAATTAAGTAAGCCATTCAAGTCTTCCCTCTCGCATGGTTCGTATCGTAACAAAATTAAACAATACTGTTACGTATGGCATGTTATACTATGTTATTAATTTTATTTCAATTTTTCACTTGATAATATTAGTAATGAAGAATAAATACTATCTTTAAGATAAAAATATTTAATTGTCAATAATTTGATTATATAAGTTAAATGAACCACAAGTAAAGGGAAGAAACTATTATACTTTTATTAAATCAATTAAAATCCATGTGTGTTAATATATAGTTAAGTTTTATATTTAAATATTGTACTAATGAAAATAGGAAATATTAGTTAATTATTAAATATTTGATTAGAGTAATAATTATTTTATTAAGATTCTAAATAACTTACCATCAAGTAACTGTTTATCAGGACTCGCTGTGCAGTCAAGAAAACTACCACTCACACTTAGATGCCCAGCATCGCTGACGCTAGATCGTCTTTTGTGCACAGCTGGTGAGTCAGTTCCATTTTGAACCAAACTAGATAAAGTTTCAGCAAGTCGTTTACGTTTTCGCCTTGTGGATGCTGTACTTGGTGTAGCTGTCTGTTGACTATCTCGTCTGACCGATGCGCTAGGTGATAGTACTGATTCTAGATACTAAATGTAAAATAAACTATTAAAAACAAACGCTGTATACTGATCCAGTTTTACTTACATCCTCAAATAAATAATCTTTTTCATCGGCTGCTCCTTCATCTTGAACGGATGTCCAAAACCATTCTGCTTTTACAACATGTGCTTTTACAGATGCCAAATCTGGTAATGTATTTACATTTGATTCATCCACTACCTATAAAAAATTATAAAAATTAATATTTTCATTTATGATATTCTTTGATATCTAACATATGTAACATATATTTCCTACGTATTATTTTTTATTATTGTTAATTTACATGCTTCTGACGTATACAAACAAAGAAAATTATTCTTTAATAATATACTATATTACATATGTTATAAAACATTGTGGACGGAACACAACTCTTGGCGACTCTTAGGAGACGTGGATTTACATTTCTCATTTGTCAACTCTTGTATAAACTTTGTATGTAGTATCATGTATAAAAAGAAAATTATACTTAAATAGAATAATAGTATGTTTAACACGGTTACCGTCGTCAATGTGATAATATATATATTCCCTTCACAGTCCTGCTACTAGATTATTTTGCATATATATATATATATAATATATATATATAAAATTTAATTATTTTTAAATCATCATGTAATAGAAACTTAAACTACATTAATTAATCATTTATCTGTGCCAAATATTAGGGAAACCAGAATATATATAATAAACAATTTACGATAAGACAGAAATATGTATTAGAAACTACCTGTATATGTATTTCATATAACCACATCATTCCATTTTACGTGACGTAACGTTAACTAAAAGAGTTGGACTTTTATATATGAATACTCGATTAACGCAAGCTTATAACGTTTGAACATTTGATATTTGACTTTTACAATCAACACAAATTGTATGAAATTGTAATACCCTGTAATAAAAAAAAAAGTACCACAAGTAATGGATCGTCCTCCTGTTTCTTCGTATTGACATCTTTTAATACAGAAGACTTGAAAGAATAGTTGGAAAGTTTTCCATGTTGTTTCAAGTCACTTGTCGTTATGTATTTAGACTGTGATAATTTAGCTATTTTGGAGGGAATAATAGGGGAGCTAGGTAATGGTGTATACTTTTGTCTAGGTTGACTCTGCTCGATAGTTGTATCATTTAATACATATTTCTTCAACATCGGAGGAAAGTTGATATCATGAAATTTCGAAAATATCGTTGGACTTTTTTTAGGCGAGTAAATATATTTTTTATTCTTTTTCTTAGGAATAGGTGAATCGTGTAAAAGAGAATCACTAAGATCGGAATAATGTTGCCTAAAAAGATTAGGATAAGAACAAATTTTTCTAAAATGCGATCTATTTGTAGATGCTCCTTTATAAATTGTATTACAAGACTTAGACTTTGTCCACTTTCTGTATCGCCTTTTTATTTTTTTATTTAAAATTATAGAATAATCTAATTCAAATGGAGCTGATTGATAAGGTTCTATTTCTTCAATAACTTCAGGTACGCATACAAGTAACTTAGTCTTATTCTTGTTTAATGTAGAAGATTTAAAGCATGCCAATTTATCATCGGAATTTTTAAAATTTTCTTTCATCACATTTTGGTTTGTAGATAATTCTATTTTAGAAATGTCATTCTGGGTATTAGGATCGCATACTATTTTATAAATTATAGGCAAATTAAAAGAACGTATTTTCTTCAAGGTATGTAAACCTGTAGTTATTTCCTGTCCATCTTTACTAGACATAGATGTATCAATACCCGAATCGGTTTGCATTGATGAAAAAGACTCGGAAGAGATAGTGTCAGATTGAGAAGACAAGGTTTGAGTATCAGAAAAATTATCATCCATATAAATATCTGAATCTTGACTAATATTGTCTGAAATATTATTTTCTTTCGTATTAAAATATTTATACGTAGGTAAAAAACTTGACGAAGATACCCATCCATTATTATGTTTACTTTTAGATCGAATAATATTCTTAGCATTTAGTATGCAATATGATGCAGAGTCAATTGGAACAATGTTAGGGATAGCATTAATATATGGATTATAAAAAATAAAGGAAAATGGACTAGATTCTGATGCATATGAAGGAGTGATGTTAAATGAATTTCTTTTATAAAGTAATCCGTTATTTTCAGTGCTGGATTTCTTGTTTTGCTGACTGCCTAAATCTGTTACCTATAGCATATAGTGCATTTTGTAATACAGTAAGAATAAAAATATAGCAAGCAGGTGTAGATCGTAGTGTAGTAGACTATTCAGCAATTAATTAGTCACTTTAAGCATACTCTTTCTCGACTTAACTCAATCATTACTTGAATAGTTAACTTCATTGCAACTTAAACCTGATTGCTATGTTTTTCATGATTTTAAATGATTGACTTATGTTATTGCAATATTATTTAGAAAAGCTTTTGTTTAACTTATTCTAGATACATTAAAAGCTTATAAAATATTGATATAATTTATTTTAAAAACTTACCACATGCGTACAATTAGGGTCGTCAATTTCTGTTGGTTCACCACCTTGTTGTTGTAGCACTTCACACATGTGCTTCTTTTCTTCTTCAGGAAAACCGAAGAAACACACTCTTGCACCAAAAAATGGTTTTAGCTTATGAGCTGTTATCTACACATATACAAACATGGCAATAACAAAAATTATTCTATGTTGTATAAAGGAAACATTTTATGAATTTATAATTAATTGAATGTGAAGTAAAATTTACCAATTCTTCATTACTTCCATAACTGGAAACGTCGTCTCTAGTACTCCAGAGAGTAGTCACCCAATTCATCGACATAATGGGTACTCTGAATACAACAGCATATCTATACTTTTCACCGCCACAACAATTAGCAATAAGATGCGTCACTTTTGTACCCATTTCTTTTCTAATACTACCACCCATGTTATGTATCATATTGATTAATCTCGTCTATAGATAAGAATATAAATATTATTATTAATATTATTGTTTATGCGATATAAATATAAGTAGAAAACTCACCAACTCATCCTTTTTTCTAAATCCTGTGAAGACAACAACTGCACCAACCATGGCTTGTGTGTACATTGGTCTTTTAATACTAGGTAATGAGTCCTTCTTTTCTGCCAACTGCAAAAGTGCTGTTGGTCCCAATATCCTATATATATATGTATATATATATATTTATATATATATGTATATATAATT